TTTTTTTAATAAACACTTTTTTTGTTATACTGGTTAAAATTCTCTTCACATTGTGATAGCAATCAATAATAGAATTGGTCTTAATATATTTACGACCAAAACTTCGAGTTCTTTACGACCAAAACCAAAAGTTCGTCCAATCATTGCATTCGGTCCGTAATTACGAGATGGCAACCCGTGAAGTTTTACCCGGAGCTGTTCGCCGCCTCAGACTCGGATTGATGCGTTTCGATGCCAACATTATCAACGCTGAAATGAATCTGCAACAGTCAGAGCTAGAGCTCAGTGAATTGTTTGTTTTCATTATTATTGTAATGTTATGTGCTAGACATGAGGTAATTTAACGCCGTCTTGTGATGCTTTGAAGACTCTGCTGTGTGCGTTCATGAATTTTGGAGACGCTCTGAAGGGAGGTGGAGTAATAACTAGCCTACTTTTAATGAATCTGTTTGACATCGAATTAATGCTAGATGTTTTGCTATAAATTACGAACATGGCATCTAAAGACTATCTCTTATTTTTCTCAGTTATTTAGCTTTATTTCCAGATTCAATTATAGGCTCGTTCTAACGAACTTACCACACTCTTTAAAAATGGTGCTAAAAATCTCTTGACAAACTAAAAGACGTAAATGACATTTGTATGTTTTCTAAATAAAAGATGCAGAATGCACTGAATGTCAGCTTGCTTATTTGGCTCAATGTCCACATGTCATGCAATCAAGAAACTCTGCTTCTAACCACAGGTCGAGAGCTGTCGTTCCAACCACACAACTTTGCGATGCTGTTTGCGAATGTTTGTTGGAATGGTGGTTTCGGGAAACACGACTCGTTGAACTATGCTGATAACAATAGACCTTGCGGCCATAGTTGGGTAACGATGCTTTCGGGAAACACACCCCTGGTTGGTTGAAACCAGCAAGTTCTGCAATGCCAGACCCAGATCTGCCTTTTCTGTGTTGGAAGTGTATGGAACAGGCCAGAACTGGGCATCGGCTCTGTAAATGGGGAAAGGATTGATAGGAGCTGGAAAAGATTGGATTTTACACTTCCGATAATGACAAATCATGACCTCTGACTGACACACACACAGTGAAATTATCAAAGACACACCTAAATATCTGTGACAGGTCATCTGCTGCACACACGCTTTCTTTACATTGTATTTACTCAATACTTCCGCAAAAAAATCTTCTTTTAAGCAAAACCGCAATGATATTTTATTTTGTCTTTCATCTCTGTTTTCCAGTCCAGATAAAGACTTATTCTTTCAGTGAGACACAGGACAAAGGACTGCATTAGAATAACGTAAATAAATATGAATAATATTAGCCTTTTGAATCAGCTTTGAACCAGATCCCGTGACTGTACAATTATTCACTGACACAGAGAAACAGGTGAAAACTTTATCCTCAAAACACCAAAGCTCTTTATCTCAGTCCTGGAATAGACTGTGTATATTCACTTTAGAGGTGGTTTTGTTTTGCTGCGTGGAGGCTGTATTTATTTAAAGGTGGAGCGCCAAGGAATTGAGATGCTAACCGTGGATCAGGATGAGATTTATTGTGTGAAATAATAATATTTCACCCCATAGTTCATGGTGACTCATCCTTGACTCTTCTATTTGAGCATGAACGCTCAAGGCAAACACAAATTTAACTATAGGGATGGATGACTACACAGAAAAAAATCCTTTTCTTTATCTGTATCTTATGTTCTCCAGTAGAAATATCTAAACACACTAAACCATTCAAAAGTAAGGTCAGTAAGATTGTATTTTTGTTAACAAATACTTTTATTCATTAAGGATGCATTAAAGGGTTAGTTCCCAAAAAAAAAAAAAAAAAAATCTGTCATCATTTACTAACTCTCATGTCAAATAAAGATATGAAATCTGAGAGCTTTCTGTCCCTCCATTGGCAGTACAAAGTTCATAAAGAGATTGTAAAACTAATCCATATGAATTGAGCTGTTTGGTCAATTTTTTAAGAGACCTGATGTTCAGGTTCATTCTCGTGTTACGCAGCACGTTTGAGCTTCTCTCTATGTTCGCTGATCAATGTTTATATGTGAATAAAAGCCTAAATTCAATCCGTTCATCATATAAAGTGATTGTGTCTCTTCAGAAAAAATGACTAATCCTCTCAATTTATATGGATTAGTTTTACGATCTCTTTATGAACTTTTTGAAGCATAGTGAAATGGTAGTTGCGTAGACTGTCAATGAAGGGATAGAAATTTTAGATTCATTTAAAATAACTTCATTTGTGTTTCGTAGATAAACAAAAGTCTCACGGGTTTGGAACAACATGAGGGTGAGTATTCTTAATTTTTTGGACGAACTAACCCATATATGGATTATAGTGTCAGTAAAGACATTATAATGTTACAAAATTACTTGTTTTTGTGGTACACAATTTTATTATATTTGTATAATACAAAATTACTTTAAATCACTGATTTATTCCTGTTTTCTAATCAAATTTAATTAATGGTAGGCTACCTTCTGCTCAAACCACTGAACCGCTTTTTCTTTTCTGAAGCAAAACTTTTTGCAATTTTCACATAAAGTCTCTCAGTGTGGTGACAGTGACACTAGTCTCTATTTATTTAAAGGTCAGGTTAAAGCGCTTTTCATTATGGCAGCTTATTTCAAGGGCAGGGAAATTGCTGTGCTAAATATATAACAAGAATATTGAGTTACATTCATAAGTGAATGAAAGTGGAATGTTAGAGGAGAAAAGGGGCAGATAGTCAAACAATAACCATCACATTAGTAGTTCTGTCGACAATTGCCTCAAGGTGCCTTTTCAAATGAAGACCATGTCAAAATGAATGAACAATAACTCGGCGAAACTGGCATTCGGTGAAAACATTTCAAAGGATATACACAACAATACACTCATGCCATAACGTCTCGGTTACATGAGGTAACCCTCGTTCCCTGAAAGAGGGAACGGAGATGCCACGTCGAGACCGACGAATAGGAATCTCGCTACAGAGGCCAATCTACTTTGAGTGAAACTAAATGAGCCAATGCACATTGGCGTGCAATCATTTGCAGCAGCTGCTCTGCCACCCAGCGGGTATATAACGAGCAGCAGGTGCGACTGCACTTCAGTTTTTTGCTGAGGAGCCGAGATGATGAGCTGGCTGCCCCGGCGGGCCGCAGCAGATGTGGCGACGGGACGTGCCGTCTCTGTTCCCTCCTTCAGGGAACGAGGGTTGCCATATGTAAGCGTTCCTCTTCAGTCGGTCAGTCGACGCCACGTCGAGACCGACGAATAGGAATCCCTACCAAAGGGTCACAGCTGCTGACCCCATCCAGCGCCCTGTGCAAGCCTCTTGCCCCTTCTTGCCTAGACGATAGGAGGAGGCTTACACAGAGTATATTTGTCACTGTTGTTCCGTGATAACCCATACAGTGAGATTCTTGGATAACACTGGGAAAGCAAGCCCTTTCTGTTAGGAAGGAGAACACTGCAGAAGCCACTTTCTTCAAAGGAGTTATGTGGAGATATATACAAATGGACTAACCTGAAGGTTTTACTGCATGTGAAATACTGGGTGACTTAGCCCAAGGGAAAGACACGGGCTTCCGTTTAGGAGCAGCCGTGGAAGAATACACATATGGGATCCCCGCAGGGTCACACATATGGGACCCAGCCTAGACCCGATTCTGAGGGATTCAACGGATAAAGGCCTGGTGCTGGACGCTCCGCCACGTCCGGGCCGAGGGTGTTGGAGGACTCCACAGGTTTTCACTCTGGAGCAATAAGTGTAGGGTGCAGCAAGCCGACAGAGCCGGGCTTCTCGGCGCCTCTACCCGTTTAGGGTGAGGTATTGCATTATTGTGTTGATTATCTATCTTACGAAATTGGCATGATACACTTATACCTGACATAATAAATTGTTACATTTGATTTTATTCTGAATTACTCCGAAATGTTTCCGCAAATCTGCGTTCAGGGTTAAGTACATACTAGATCCCAGTTTAGATGGAGCGTGGGGCACTTCTGGTGGGATTCTAGATTCCTGACCAACTGCTTGACTTTAAGTTATTATGCAGTCGCAAATAGGGGGCTAGAGAAGAAAACTATTGAGGTAATAGCAGCGTTTGGAGCGACATTATCTTAATGTCCTAGCCATAACCTCTGGTTATTGTTTGGGCTTTAACTAAGTTGTTATATGGACGACTGGGTAACGCAACGCTATCTCACGACCAATTCGTCCGAATTTGACGAGTGATTAAAAGATGGCTAATTCGTACGAATTTGTACGACCTCATTCGTACAAATTTGTACGATTTGTCTAAACCCACGTGATGGGTAGGTTTAGGGGCGGGGTCAGGGGTAGGTCATTCGTACGAATTCATACGAATTGGGCAACTCGTCAAATATGTACGTTTTAGCAAAAATCGTACTAATTCGTACGAGTGAGGTCTTTGAATCTTTTAATCACTCGTCAAATTCGGACGAATTGCTCGTGAGATCGGGTTGGGTAACGCTTCCTTTTACAGTACAGTACTTACGTGTACTTAAAGTGTACGTACCTAGTACTGGCTAATATAAGGTAAGTACATGGGTTAGGGGTAGGTTTAGGGGTAGGTTCAGGGTTAGTACTTAGTTATTACCCAGTAATTGTAATTACTATAATAAGTACATAGTATGTACATGGGTAACAGGACTGTAAAAGGAAGCGTTACCGACGACTGTAGGGGGCTACATGGGTTCTTTTTAACAATAGCAAGCGTGTTGCGGCATTGTTAAACTGCTTTAGCCATAACCTCTGGTTATCGATCAGACTGGCGAGCTTGGGATCGTGAGATCAGCTTAAAAGAACGGCCGGCACGATACTCTCTAAGCGACATATATTCCTAATGAACGAGTAAAATATAAAGTAAAGAGTTAAATAGAATAATCAAATGCATTGCTAAACTATTATATAAATGACCAATAACCAATTGGCAATCTGTAAAAAATAATATTGGCAAAAAGTAGAGGGCACTGTTTTCAGGTCTCTGGGTTGCAAACAAATGGACAGAGTTGCCCAAACTTCACGATAAAGTCATTTTCTGCTCTTACTAGTGCGTCCTCATCAATATAAACTGCCGCCCTTCTGGCAGTGAGGTAGTACTGCACTTTTCTGAGTCTCCAGCCTAACACATACATCAGGAGTCCACACACTGCCGCAGTAGAACGGCCCACTCCTGCATTACAGTGAACATATACTGTGTGACCGTTCTTCAGCAGTCCATAAAGCAGGAACACCGCCTGGGGCAGCATCCGTGTGCGACCTGCAATAAACATATACAGCAATACAAGCTCTTTAGAGACTTGCATTAGTAATCGAGTTTACAGTTCAGTACAGCATATCCTCCGTGTGCTAAGTACATGTTACGTACGGCTCACTTGTCTCTGTTATTCAAGGGTGTATTGGCTAAACACACACACTGACCTTCTGTGCTCATGTCTGGGGTGGGGATCCAGATATAAGAAAGGCCACAGTCTTTGTACAGGTGTGTCATTGTCTCTGGGGTCATGGGTTGACTGAGGTCACGCCGGCAGCCGTGTGAGTTGTTTATGACATCCCATTCTGTCTGAAAGTTCATCACTGCTGTAACACCCAGTTCTTGTTTCAGCTTTAGGGTTATATGTTCGGCCCGTCGAGGGCAGCTGCCTAACCAGACACGCGGAAGCACCCTGAAGAGAAGAGAGAGAGGAAACTTAGCTGTGTGAAGGAGTATGTGTGTGTGTGTGTCTACAAACTATGCAAATAGTGTGTGTGTAACCAGTGATGGCCCATCAGAGAAGGAAAGGGCAATCAAAAATGTATTCAAAATATAACAACAGAAGAGACTGCTGCTTCAATAAATGTACTTAGAGATATGCCGAGGTAAAATATGTTTTCCATTTTTTTTAAATATTTTCCTTGCATAGTAGACCAGAGATCATCTGTGTACATAAGCATAATGAGCAGCCAAAGACACGATAATTAAACCTGCCTCAATCTTTTATTGGTTTGATCAATATTGTACATACATCAACTTCCCTGGACAATTCCCACATCTGTAACAAACAATCACCACATTGCTTAATAGATATATTATTATGAGATCCCAGAGCAACGAGAAAGATAGCAGAAACATATGGCAGGGTGATAGGAAAGATCATAAAACATATACTGTATGAAAATGTGTTCCTTTAACGATTGCACTGACAATGTTACTACTCAGTGATACACTTTTTAGTGGGGTTTTTTTTGCCATTGAAACATACTATACCTCCAGCCCTACGTATTCAATTTTGGACTGCAAATTCATCCCGTCATATCATATCATTACAACGGAGACTCCTCCTGACGTGGGGGGTTGACTTGGGCAAACCAACAATTACGCAGAACACTGTAGCAACTCCAAAGAAAAACTAGACACTCAGAACAACAGAAGAGAAAAAGAGAGGAGAGCAGATAATTTTCATTTTACATTTTCAGCGTCTCTACCTCCATCGTTTCTCATCAAACGATGAGACAGTCATGTCAGCAGGGTCTCTCCCTCTGTGTATATGAGAGCTCAGGACTCAAATAATGGAAATGGTAATGAGTTTAGTGGTTTGAGGAGACAGACTGACAGCCAGGGGAATGAAGGTCAGAGACATCAGGTGAGAGGTGTATTTTTACCTCAGAAACCCACATGCCTCTTTGAGGGGAAAACATAAATGAAATGATTGAAGGGAAAGTGAGCTGCAGGTTAATGGTGAGAAGCATTGAGTATGATTTAACCTCTGCCCAAAACCCTCTCCAGGGCAGGACGCTTGGGTTGATGTCTAATACAATTGCATTCATTTATTTTCCCTGTGACTTAATTGTCCAAATGCTTTTTTTGGTGCAACTGTACACAGAGGTGTGTGCAATGTACTCCTCTGAAAACGATGCGTTTGTGTGTGTGCGTGTATTTAAGCACTGCATTAGAAGTGGGCACGTAGTGCATTTTAAATGAGCAGTGGTGACAAGTACAAGTTGTGTTTAATTACTGGTCAAAGACCTAACAAGGTGTACTTGATTCTGGAGACAAAAGGTCCTTGTATTTTTCCTTGGGACTTTGTTCATTCAGCCACCCGAGTTTATTTTACACTCTTCATTTGGTGTGAATTAGACTTTGTAATTGATACACAGAAACACTGTTTCCCGAGTTTCATGGTTGTTTATTTCTTATAGAGTCAATGACATGCACTGTGGGAACATTGACTCGTATTGTGAATGTAGACGAAACCTGAAATAAGAAAAAAAAAAACCTTTCTAGTTCTCGCAGTAAATTTTAATGTTGAATTCTCTGTGGGTCTTACTATCTTCTGAGACTAGCAGGTTTTAAATAAACCAAAGGTTCTTTAATAAAACAAACTCAGGTAATCCAAATACAGTAAGGCAACATAACAGCATATTTCACATGAACACACAAACAATACCAGAAACCAACTGAATGAAAAGGAGGAACTTAAATACACAAGGTGATTGAACTCAAATGATGAACTCTTTAACCAGAAACCATAGTAACAAATGAGGAGAGGGAAACTGGAACAAATGAGTTTGGTAACTGAGAGAAAAAAATAGAAACTCCATGAAAATGAAACTAAAACAGGCAGTTTGTGATGTCTATATAAAACCATCCTTGCAGATAATCTAATATTAATGAAATAAAGAGAGCACACTTTCATGACCATGTTCGGTTACACTGTGTTTGGTGACTATGATTAGTTACACTGGAATTAGACAAATAAGTACTGAGTAATGTTAATTATTAACTACATGTAGTCCTGTTATGGGTTGCCTTAGGGTTAGTTGCTTGTAATTATGCATAATTTACTGTTATTACTTTTTTTAAGTAGCTGTAACTACTTTAAAGTACTAACACTAACGTATTAAGTGTTATCCTATGTTTTTAACACTCTTCAGTGTACTTTTAAAAAGTGCACTTTGTAATTATGTCAAATTAAAAGTTTTACTTTTAAGTACATTTTAATGCATTGTTTTAATAATTTTTCGTCATGTTTTAAAGAAGTACACTTATTTTGATGTGTTGACAGCGTGGAAAGGAGAAGGAGGAGGGCGTGGAGATGGTGTAGGGATGGAGACAGGTGATGGCGAAGGTATGGTGATGGCAGGCTGTGGAAGAATGGTGACAGATGGACGGCGACGAGACCCCGGCGGCGATGGTGTACGTCCGATGGCACAGACCCAGAGCAAAGTGACGACAGCCCACGGCGGAATCGAGGGAGGAGCCAAGGTGGTGTAGAGGCGGACGTCAACTGGGGGACGGCCGACGGAGGCGGAGCCGATGGATCCCAGGGCGAAGACAGGCGGCTGGAGTTGTATGAGGTTTTGCCGACAGTGAGGATCCACTCGAGTTACGAGGTTTAGTCACAAGCTCTTTAAATAAAGTTCAATTCAAGCTCTGGTATAAAGTTTCTTATCATACTGTTTTCGGAAAGATAGTGTTACCGAAGGATCTCGTGAACAGAAATGTTAAAATACTGATTCTGTTCAGAGTGAACCGATTGAATTTTTCTTTCTTCTGTTTTATCATTTTTCTGCCCTGCTATAAATGCACCATTACTTCTACATTTAGCTAATTAAAGTCTCTCAGTGTTTTCCATTATTTTGTTCAGTTGTACTTTCTTTACTAGAGATGCATTCTGTCATAGGAAGACAGAATCTTTGCCCTTATGGAGATACACCAGCCTCTTTGATACAGTGAATCTGTTATTACTCTAATGGATTCCCCAACCCCAGACTCAATGACCCTGTCTTACTTTTATCCACCTCCACTTTCAACTTTTTTTTTGCCTGCAGAACAAGGTCAGAGGTCAAAAGAAACAAGCACTTAGAGCTCACTGCTTGAGTCATTGAGCTAATTATAGAGAACTATATAAAACACACGCATAATTAAAAAGAGAGACATGCACAAAAAAACACCCTAATCAAATGCTTCTGGATAATTAGATGTTACTATCTGTGGATTTGAGACATGGCACATACTTCAAGTTAAGTTGAATTTACAGAGTAAATTTATCTTTAACCTGGTGTTAATCGAGACACTTTACTTCTGCTAAACATCTTTTTGTGTTCCACAACCCTTCCCTTTAAAACTAAAGGTCACATTTACCTTTGTTCTGAGAAATTTCATGTAATAAAAAACGGAAAGAAATTTCCTTCGCGTTTTTTTGCGTATAGACAACAACGTTGTCAAAACAATCCCCGATCACAAGGATCTGCGAACACGACTAAAAAAACTGCATTATGCTTCCATGCCGGCAGAAACACTGAGCCTTTAGACTAAACATGTAAGGCGCCATTCACATATTGCGCCTAAAAACGTGTAGAAAAACGCTAGGCGCGCCGCGTTCTCCTTTTTCCAAAGTGCTAGGGCGGTTGCACTCCGGAGGCGTCTGTCGTTGCTGTGGTTGGTTCTTGTCACGTGACCTACGGTGCGCTTGTGGCATTCTGAAAAGTTGAGATGGTTTTATCTCGATGCGGCGCGGACGCGCTTGGAAAAAACTAGCGCGTCGCCCCGCGACCGCATCTCTTCCATTATGAGCGTGCATACATTTGAAATAACGAACTTGAGCGCGCAAAAGACGCGACATGTGAGCAGGCCCTAATACGCCTGCACCGTTTTCACAAACTCGTGTTTTTGTAGTTTACATGGAGACAATAACGATATCATTTTCAAAAACTTGCACATTGAAACCCTTTTTCAAACGTTTGCATTTTCAGGCCTCTAAAACGCTGTTGTCGTGCAAATGAATGGCCAAAATGCATAAAAAGTTTTAACTTATTAGATGAAAACGGTGCCGTGTAAACTGCCCCTTAATTACACAATGCAAAAGCTAGAAAATAGGAACCTTTGCTTTGCTGTGTTTGGAATGGATTACTATCATTCTCCTCATACTATTTCTGCAGTATCCAGTATGAATAATGTGCATAGTATGCAACTTTTCTGTAAGAATAGAATATCTGGTTGACCTACTGTATTTGCCCAAACCTGCTTAATACAACTTAAGTACACTGAAATTGGTATTGAAGTTGTGTTCAAAATGGCATACTACCATACAACCCTATACAGGTACAACTATATTTGCAGTATGCAATGTGTATATTGTGAATAGTATCTGAATTTTATGTATGCATGGAAATCCCGGATTACCTAATACATTTGCTGAAATCTGTTGTGTGCATCTGAGAACACTGGGTGAGATATTGTTTCCCACAACGCAACATGCTCCACATGATGCTTCATGGGGAATGAAGAGTGTGGCGTGAGTGAACTGGAGCCAGGCAATAATTATAAATGTAACATTCATATTACAGGTGTTATTCCTTTAAAGTAAATAAAAATTGTATTGTGACGTACAAACTATAGCTGTTTCCCAAAGCACTTGTTAGCATCTATAGCCCAATTTATACTTCAATCTCAACATATGCTTTCGAAAAGTAAAATGTTGAGTAAAAATGTTCAATTGATTGTTCAAAAAACACATTATTTTTCTTTCTCTCTTGCCGACATCGAGTTGCAAGTGCACAAGTTAGTTATACTTCTAACATATCGCAAAAACAGTTGCAAAATTCAAGGCGCGTAATTTTAAATGACTTGAGAAGTTGCAAGTGCCTAATTGAGGTTGTACTGTGAATGTGAATGAAAGAATAAGTGCAACTATGTCCTACAAGTTTGTGTCTGTCATTGTATTTTTGTGAATGGGATTTTACACAGTTGTAACTACTTGTCTGCAACTTCAAATTCAGAATACAGGTTTGGGACTATTGTTTGCGAGTGCAAATCTCAACATTCAACTTCAGATTTTTATTTTACAGGTTTTCACATTGGAACTGCGAGTGTAAATATTAGCGTACAAGTACGAATATTAATTGTACAAGTTCTCAAATTCACATCTACATGCTCTCGAGTTTTGCTACTCTTTTAACTTAATCACTTACCCTCATGTTGTTCCAAACCTGTATGTGTTTCTTTCGTCTGTTGAACACAAAAGAAGATATTTTAATGGCACCCATTGACTTAGGTTTGGAACAACTTGATGGGGTGAGTAAGTGATGACAACACTTTCATTTTTGGGTGAACCATCCCTTTAAAACACATGATGGATGGGAAATGCATTCACACATACTGGGAGAAGTGAATGGCCTGCTGTCCCGCTATGCTGAAGTAAAAGTTGGTGGTGTGTTGCATCTCATCTGTGTGGCCTGTCTCCTCGATCCAGTGACCAATCGGGTGGCAGTATACCCCGTCCACCATGTTACTGTCATCATACACACACTGCCGGTCATGATGTGGCCCATTGCCTAGCGATAGACACAAGACAAACACAACACGTCTCAAATACATTTGCACACTAATGGGTCAATGACAAACCACAGTAGGATTAATGAAAAAACATTGTAAAAGTTTTTAGATGTCCTAAGTTCTTACTTTTTAACAAAATGTTTGAATTAATGACTTTAAAATATCATGTTATGTAACATCTGAATAAACAACACATTTGTTTCATGCTTCATATAAAGTTTCAGTGGTTCTCGAAAAAGTTCAAATTCACATTATTGTCCATTTTGTGCTTTTTATGTAAGCCTTTCATTTCTGAGGGGGAAGGTCAATAGCCAATTAAATTACCGAGTGTTGTTCAGACTCTGGAGGTCACCTGTTCCTGAACCTCTGAGAGTTCACATTTAAAAGCTAATGGTTCCTTTCATTGAATCAGACACTTCCTGTAAGGGCTGCAATTCTGTATAATTTGATGGTCAAGTAATAAGCTTGATTCATAATAAATTTAAACATTCAAATGAGTCCTTGCGTTGGTAAAACAGTAGCGGAGCGCTGCCTCAGTCCTACATGTAATGCACTTGTAATGAGGGTGAGCATGTTAGTTTCTGAACTCGTATTCATTCCTAACTCACATTCATCCTGAAAGTATGTGGGGTGTTTGTTATTTGTCCAACATTTATCATCCCACCCCACTGCTGTCGCCCTTTCAACTGCTGGGCTGATTAGAGTCTCAGAGCTGCAGCCCACACAGCAAACAAGCTCTTCACGCGTACTCATATAGCATGAACAAACAATCCTGTAATTATGCTCATGGTTACAGTCTCAGTTTAAGCAACAAACATACATTACACACTGTAAGCATATACAGTATGCAGACGTTAATGTTTAAATGGGTTTGGATGGTGGTGTTTAAATGGGTTTGGATGGGGGTGTTTAAATGGGTTTGGCGGGTGGGTTTGGATGGTGGTGTTTAAATGGGTTTGGATGGTGGGTTTGGATGGTGGTGTTTAAATGGGTTTGGATGGTGGTGTTTAAATGGGTTTGGATGGTGGTGTTTAAATGGGTTTGGATGGTGGGTTTGGATGGTGGTGTTTAAATGGGTTTGGATGGTGGTGTTTAAATGGGTTTGGCGGGTGGGTTTGGATGGTGGTGTTTAAATGGGTTTGGATGGTGGTGTTTAAATGGGTTTGGCGGGTGGGTTTGGATGGTGGTGTTTAAATGGGTTTGGATGGTGGTTTTGGATGGTGGTGTTTAAATGGGTTTGGATGGTGGTGTTTAAATGGGTTTGGCGGGTGGGTTTGGATGGTGGTGTTTAAATGGGTTTGGATGGTGGTGTTTAAATGGGTTTGGATGGTGGTGTTTAAATGGGTTTGGATGGTGGTGTTTAAATGGGTTTGGCGGGTGGGTTTGGATGGTGATGTTTAAATGGGTTTGGATGGTGGTGTTTAAATGGGTTTGGCGGGTGGGTTTGGATGGTGGTGTTTAAATGGGTTTGGATGGTGGGTTTGGATGGTGGTGTTTAAATGGGTTTGGATGGTGGTGTTTAAATGGGTTTGGCGGGTGGGTTTCGATGGTGGTGTTTAAATGGGTTTGGCGGGTGGGTTTGGATGGTGGTGTTTAAATGGGTTTGGATGGTGGTGTTTAAATGGGTTTGGCGGGTGGGTTTGGATGGTTGTGTTTAAATGGGTTTGGATGGTGGTGTTTAAATGGGTTTGGCGGGTGGGTTTGGATGGTGGTGTTTAAATGGGTTTGGATGGGGGTGTTTAAATGGGTTTGGCGGGTGGGTTTGGATGGTGGTGTTTAAATGGGTTTGGATGGTGGTGTTTAAATGGGTTTGGATGGTGGGTTTGGATGGTGGTGTTTAAATGGGTTTGGATGGTGGTGTTTAAATGGGTTTGGCGGGTGGGTTTGGAGGTGGTGTTTAAATGGGTTTGGATGGTGGTGTTTAAATGGGTTTGGATGGTGGGTTTGGATGGTGGTGTTTAAATGGGTTTGGATGGTGGTGTTTAAATGGGTTTGGCGGGTGGGTTTGGATGGTGGTGTTTAAATGGGTTTGGATGGTGGTGTTTAAATGGGTTGGCGGGTGGGTTTGGATGGTGGTGTTTAAATGGGTTTGGATGGTGGGTTTGGATGGTGGTGTTTAAATGGGTTTGGATGGTGGTGTTTAAATGGGTTTGGCGGGTGGGTTTGGATGGTGGTGTTTAAATGGGTTTGGATGGTGGTGTTTAAATGGGTTTGGATGGTGGGTTTGGATGGTGGGTTTGGATGATGGTGTTTAAATGGGTTTGGATGGTGGTGTTTAAATGGGTTTGGCGGGTGGGTTTGGATGGTGATGTTTAAATGGGTTTGGATGGTGGTGTTTAAATGGGTTTGGCGGGTGGGTTTGGATGGTGGTGTTTAAATGGGTTTGGATGGTGGGTTTGGATGGTGGTGTTTAAATGGGTTTGGCGGGTGGGTTTGGATGGTGGTGTTTAAATGGGTTTGGCGGGTGGGTTTGGATGGTGGTGTTTAAATGGGTTTGGCGGGTGGGTTTGGATGGTGGTGTTTAAATGGGTTTGGATGGTGGTGTTTAAATGGCTTTGGCGGGTGGGTTTGGATGGTGGTGTTTAAATGGGTTTGGATGGTGGTGTTTAAATGGGTTTGGCGGGTGGGTTTGGATGGTGGTGTTTAAATGGGTTTGGATGGTGGTGTTTAAATGGGTTTGGCGGGTGGGTTTGGATGGTGGTGTTTAAATGGGTTTGGTGGGTGGGTTTGGATGGTGGTGTTTAAATGGGTTTGGATGGTGGTGTTTAAATGGGTTTGGCGGGTGGGTTTGGATGGTGGTGTTTAAATGGGTTTGGATGGTGGGTTTGGATGGTGGTGTTTAAATGGGTTTGGATGGTGGTGTTTAAATGGGTTAATGGGTTTGGATGGTGGTGTTTAAATGGGTTTGGCGGGCTTGAGTTTGGAGGTCTCAAAGCAATATTGCCCTTTAAAGCCAAAATGCAGTAAGTATGCCAACACTAAAATGGCTTTTTATTGAATTTTGATGTATTTGACATTGAGATCTAAAACCTAATTTATAAAATAGATTTTTCCGACTCTGTATTCTGATTTGATGCTATGTATTTATGTTAATGTGCATGTTGCTATGATTCTTGGTAACCATAAAGAGCCTACAGTTAGGATATATGTACATTGTGAAAGTGTCCTCCACTAATATTGGCTGCTGGTAAATATGAGCAAAGGCGGCTGTGAAAATAAATCTGCATTGTTAAAATCCTTTTGATCTTTCATTAAAAAAATTCACAAAAATCTAATCTTTCATTGAAGTAAAACAATTGAAAATTGGGGTTTTAGGGGATTAACAGTTAAAGACCCAAGGACTAGATATGATTAATTAAGACCCGGAGTCAGAAGTGCAGTCAATTTAAGACAAGAGTCAGACTTATAATAAATTAAAGACATTTTTTACTGAAGATAGTTTGAAATTTCATCAGGCAGAAGTCAGCTTCAAGACTCACAAGGAGTTCGTAGGCCGCCCCACTTACAGTTACAAAGATCACAGCAGTTACACCCTTCACCAAGGTCTAAGTTACGTCCTTGCTTCAGGTTGAATGATTCCGATTGGCTAAGAAATAGATAAACATAGTAATTTTCCACACATATACAGATAGACTGAAGCATATCTCCATCGATAAGGCAGCTGACACTCACGCCGTGATCTTCCAGGTCGCAGGGAGCCAGCATGTCGAAGAAAACAAAGTCAATCAATCTCCAACAATGCCACTGTTTCCTTACCCTGCACCAAGAAGACTAACACACACACCGACACACAGCTTCTTCAAGGTTTGATTTGGTCGGGCTCTAATGATAAACAGGAGAGTCTTCTCAAAACATCACGATAACATCTTCTTTCTCTCAATGAGAGGACACTTTAATATAGAACAGTAAAGTAAATGCTAAGAAATGGTCACTTACACCATTGGTTCCAATGACCCTTATGACCTATAGTCATCATGGTGAGCTAGAAGAACGGATATATGTTTTAACACATGTTGAAAATCTTTCGCAAAAAAACGAGTCCATGTTTAATTACTGGAAGCCAGGCTAAATAAGCAAGCAATGTTGCTGTATTCCTAGCATGGGCTAGACCTGCAGTCCCCTCTCAGAAGATATCACGTACAGACATTAGAGCAGAGGTCTCAAACTCGCGGCCCGCTGGGTGATATTTTGTGGCCCCCTACTTGACATTAAAGTTTAATGTTAGTGCGGCCCGTCGTTGCGTGTGCCACGTTTAAAAAAAATAAAAAATAAAATAAAAAAAAATGTTATCCCTTATGAGCTACCATAGATAGTCTCGTGACAGCTTACGGTGGGTTTGTTGTCAATAGTTGTCATAGACAACCGCGAAGTACAAACATACTGCGCCTGGAAAAAATGAACGCGTCGCTTCAATTATGAGCTCGCTTGCCGCGCGCCTACATTTGAAATAACGAACTTGAGCGCGCAAAATATGTGAGCGCGATATGTGAACGGCCCCTCGTCGAGCTACCACCAATCAGACCACGAGCTACTGGCAGCTCGCGAGCGACGTGTTGGAGACCCCTGCTCTAAAACAATGTGAGAATAATCATTTTGAGCTTGTAATATGTGTCCAACAGGTTGATAAGAAGGTTTGCTTTGATTTGTGCAGTCAGTAATTTGAGACACTATACATGTGTAGAAATAATTCAATAAGATGGGCAGACATGACTGCAAAATTTGTATTTCAAAAGCAATAATTTTTTTTCTAAGTATAATAAAAGGAAATGTGCCTTCCAAAAAAAACATTCAATATCATTAATGTGTTGTATAAAGAAAATAAAAAGGACATAAGCAAATATAAATAAATCACAAATATGTGTTATCGAGAAAAGAAAGTTTGTAAAATGAACTTCAACTGTCAGAAGGACAGCTCATGAAGAACCAATCATGTACAGAAAGGAATGTTCAAATGCAGAGGAACAGTTCAGAAGAAACGTTAATAATAAAGATTGAGAAGATTGGATCAGTTGTGCTCCTTTTTTGGAATACTTGAATACTATTTTTTGTGGAATACTTGATGCGGCCCAGCCTGACCCAGACTCTACCTCCAGCGGCCCCCAGTTAAGTTGAGTTTGAGACCCCTGCATTAGAGAATACATGAAAAGAACATTTCAGTAATCACACTGGTAACTTCTATAACAAAGTAAAATCTCATGAGCCTAGAGAAGTCATTCAACTCATGAGATATTTAGAAGGAAAAATATAGATTAATACCTTGTTTATAATCACTCATTAGATATACATTGAAGCAGCAGTGGATTCCAGAATCCACCTCTTCAGGGGAAACTCACATTAAAATGTTTTTCCTCTAGTTCACGTTGGCCACAATTATTGGCACCCAATTATAGCAACACCCTTTTGCGAAGATAACAGCTCTTAGTTTTCTCCTACAGTATAATGCCTGATGAGTTTGGAGAACACCTGACAAGAGATCAGAGTCCATTCCTCCAGAATCTCTCCAGATCCTTCAGATTCACAAGTTCATGTTGGTGCTTCTTCTCTTCAGTTCAGCCCGGTGCTTCTTCTCTTCAGTTCAGCCCACTCATCTTCTATAGGGTTCAGGTCAGGGAACCGGGACGGCCATGGCAGAAGCTTTGTGCTCAGTGACACATTTTTGTGTTGATTTTGATTTGGATCCTTGTCCTGATTGAAGATGCAATCACGACCCATTATAATATTTCTAGCAGATGCCGCCAGGATTTAATTTTTTTTTTTTTGTATCTGTTGGTATTTGATAATATAATAATAATCTTTATTTTATATAGCGCCTTTAAAAGTTGCATCTCAAAGCGCTTTACAAAGACATACAGAAAAGATACATTGAGATAAAAGGAAAAAAAACATACATAAAAAAATAAATAGAATCATGCAATCAAAATCAATTTAAAAGACATGACAAATAAAAAAATAAAAAAATCACATATATGCTAGCCGGAAAAAAAACCATGTATCTGAACAAGATGTCCAGGACCTCCAACAAAAAAAAAACAGGCCCACAACATTATCCGGGAGTATATTTAACCGTGGGGGGTACTTTTTATCCCTGTTTGCACCAAACCCTGCCAAAAACCGCTGAATATACTGGAGTTTGTTTATGGATGAATGAGGAGGATTTTTCTGGAAATCCTCCCAAACAACATGTGGTGATGTTGATCTTTTTTAGGCTTTCTGACCCCAAGACTCAACTAATCTCTGCAATTATCTGTGATCCTCGGAGAGTCTTTGGCCACTCAAACTCTCTTCCTAACCGTGCATTAAGACATAGACACACGTCCTCTTCCAGGCAGATTCGTATCATATTTAGTTGATTGGAACTTCTTAATTATTGCCCTGATGGTGTAAATGAGGATTTTCAACTTTTCTTACAGCCACTTTCTGTTTTGTGAAGCCCAACAATCTTTTGCTGCACATCAGAACTATATTCTTTGGTTTTACTCATTGTGATGGATGTGTTTGGCCTTTGTGTTTCCTCATATTTAAACTCCTGTGAAACAAGAAGTCATAGCTGGACAATTTCATGTTCCTAGTCACCCTGGTTTGCTAAAAAAGGTAAATATTAATGGGAATATACTTCAGAGATAGTTTACACATACGAATATCAGGGGGTGCCAATAATTGTGGCCAACATGCATTGGCCAGCAAAAACATTTATTTCATAATGTGAATTTCCCCCATTTTCAATTTTTTTACTTCAATGAAAGGTTAGATTTTTGCTAATTTGTGAATGAAAGATCAAAAGGATAACCAATGCAGATGTATTTCCCCAGCCGCCTTTGCTCATATTTACCAAGGGTGCCAATATTAATGGAGGACAGTGTATTACCTAACAAGAAACTCTGATTAACAAATGATTAAGTAAAAGTGCTCAGTTGAATGAAGTAGTTCACTATAGCTAATAAATAACTACCTCCCAGAGGACTATAAGAACTACAGGTTCATAATTATTAAGAGTAATGCACAATGTATAATTAATTCTAAAATTAAGATAATTTAATAGTAGTTAATAGAATATTTATATTGTGTTACTCATTTGTCCCTGTGTAGTTATTCATTAATGACCAAACAGTATTCTAAAGTGTTACTGTGTGTTCTATATAGTTGCTATGATGCACGAGATTGAGTAATTAGTTTTAAATGAGAACTATTCCTTTAAAATGTAACATAATAATAATAATAATAAAAAAATGCATCAGGCTACTTTCATTCCATCCCAAAAAGTTCCCAACCAGTTCTTTTCTGATTTAAAAGTGGTTCACTCTCTATCATACAACATTTCCTCTTAAGCTTCACATCTAGGTCAAATACAGAAAAAGAAAAAGGTGCAGAATTAGAACCTACTGAAGTGAACAGGCCAATACGTCCTTATGAACCAAGACTGTCCCTATCTGGACGCTGATACACCCCACTGATCAGAGTACTTTAGTCTCAACTGGAGGACTATCAGTTCATGCTTGCTTACCAGAGGCAAACTCGGAGCCAATTCACCTGCTATGGTGTGCAATCAGCAAGCATCATTTCAATCAGCAAAACACATCTCGACACAATCAAAATCTCGGCTGTTTTCATATGACAGTGTGAATGGACAAGATAGCAGCAAACAATGGCTCAATCAAAACCTCAGTCCACAGATGGCGCGAGCACTGGAGCAGAACGTCGATTTGTCACGCATAAGGCATATTCATTCAAATGAGAAACATGACAGAATGAGAAAACTGCCACTGGAGTCATGTAAGGACGACAGCTTGGGCTCCCTGACAAAGCAGGTCATGTTCAGGTTTCAGCGTTCCTTCATTTTTCATCACTTTGAAATATTTGCTGCTTTGCTCCCAAAGCAAAGTTCAAAGTTTGGTCTCATGAAAGTGAAATACGTTTCAACAAGCTTCATAGGCTACTGTCCAAAAAACAAAACAAAACAAAAAAAAGGTGCAAAAAGACAGTGAATACATAAATACTGGACAACATTTCTATAGGCTATTATCAGGTACTTTCTCAATCATTTAAACCCAGTGCAAAAACAATCTTACTAATATTATTGGGAGATTTAGAGTGACAACTGATATTTATATGCATTTTATGTAGAAGTCTGTTATACTGTTATTTAGATCTACATTTCGAGATCAGAATTTTAGCTTACTTTTTGTTCAAATAAATATCAGAATCTGTACCGAATTGCATATTTTTACTCAGTTTTTTCCTCAAGTATGAGCTTTATATTCTCACTATCATACTAAACTGTAGCCTTCACAAGTTAAACTGAAAGGATTTATAAATTCGTGACTGTCTGTCAGTGCAAGTCAGACTGAACAGCAGCACCATCCAGTGAGCCAAAAACTGTATTACACTGTGGATGTTAAAGCGCGTATTGTCCTTTATCTTAATATATCCTTTAGAGCTGATGTCGTGTGTGTCGTCCTCACGACTTGACCATTATCCTCACATACCTTCCCAAATGTTGTTCCCAGCGACACGCTTTATAAACTTAAACCACAGCTTATCTGTGTTGGGTTCGGACAGATGCACGTCTCCGGTCCACAGACACGGTTCACAGGCGGACGGAACCGGGCGGCTCGGGTTCATCTGCACGGCACGGGCCGGGTCCCAGTGTCCCATCTCCGGCCGAGAGCCCAACACAAACACCTCGACATCTGAACACTCTGGTGTCAAAATTACACCAAACCTAAACACAACCATGTCCTGTAAATACACACAGCTCGGGAGCTCTACTGGGACTGATATGTGCCTTCGGTCACTGACATTAAATGGCTGCGCTAAAAATATACGCAGTATTCTTGACATTTAAAGGGATACAGTGGCTGAGAGGGGACAACTCTCTCTCTCTCTGTGTGTGTGTCCTGGTAAACCTACATTATGGGGACATTGCATGTCTATGAAAAGTACCATAAATCATGATCATACAACGTATGTGTGTGTTGTTTTATAGGATTGGTAGAAAAATCACACTTCTTAGGAGATTTCTGTTATTATCGTGATCACGGTACAGGTCCTGAACAGTGCTGTAAAAAAGTAACCGAGACCACATGACCCCGCTTTGAGAGCCTTCTTATGTTTTTATTCAGATAATTCACATGTGAATAATGCCCCTATAAACATGTTTAACAGCCATGTAACATAAATACACAGAACAAAAGAAATTATTAAAGTTGAAATAAAACATTATTAAAATTTACATGACCAATTAAACAGAATTGATGTTGTCATGTATTTAAATATAGTTGTAATTACATTTTTGTAATGATGGATTTGCAATTTAGTACATTTATTTTAACACATTTTAGACCAATTAACTTTAAATGTAATATCAAATAACACACCAGTTACAATTATATTCAAATACTATACATGTGCATCTGTACTTAGTCAACACATTAAAATAAATGTTCCTTTAAAGCACAACAAAGGATTAATAAAACAAATAGTTAACGTGTATTTTAAATTGACATTACAAAGTGCCTTTTTTAAAAGTGTTAAGAAGTATAGTCATGCAATTGTACTCTTTTATTTTATCAATGATATATTATCTGTTATTAAAAAATAAGTTATCAGTTTAAATATAGCCCACCTGTAAAGATTTTAAGTACACTTCAGGTGCACTTTCAGTACAATCAAGTGCTCTTCTCTTTCATAAGTCAGCATTAATCAATACAAAATCTCTGCATTTGAACTCTGATCTGTAAAAATAATTATTATTGTGACGTTATTTTTTATTTGTTTTACCCTGTTCGGACCTTAACGTATTCAGCCATATTTAGTATTTACAACAAAAGGCCACATCTCACAGTTCAATTGCTTTAGCAATTGTACACACTTAAGAGTTAGACTGTGTAAGGGACATGAAATACCAGGTTCTTCTGAATACTGTATTAATTGTATTAAATTATTTTATTATAAACTTCAAAGTGCCAACACGTTCTCAGGGAAAGCAGCACATCATTTCCAGAGTATAAACCAGTTAAAAGTAAAGTTTGGATGAAGTCTGCAAGCATACATTTTAAAAATATAGAAAGACATTGAGCCAGAATAAAGATAATAAAATATATATATTTTTTTTAATTCATAAGTCAAAAACCACATGCAATTCCAACCAACAGCTGTACTGGCAATTTCTCCTCCTTAGATTTTAAACAATCAACCTATAACATGGCTTCAATAATACAATTTATGGACTGCATTAACAAAAAAGAAAGAAAAAAGAAATCACTTCATTTTGACAACATAGAAATGACCACACAACCTTGGGTGACACAAGCAGAGAAGCCTAAAACAGCTCCTAACATGTGAACGCTGCGTAGCTTTCCATAAACCTTCTATAGATGAAAATAAACACTTCTGTGGTTTCATTAGCTGCAGATCACACCTATAAATATTATATTAGACTCGACAAATGCTCACAGCACACATTTAAATGCAGATATGTAAGTTAGAGCTCTTCTTTGTACTCAAATATAGTGTTACCTAAGCTTTCCCTCACTCACTCAATGGGGAACGCAATAGCAGAGTGTCTTGCTCCAGGTTAGTGAGGATACAGCGGGCCAGAGCGCAGACAGCCACAAATTTCAGTACAAATATTGACTCTAAATGTTGATATATGTTTGGCATGCTAACCTGGCATGCTGATATTGAGTGATATAGTACTGGAGAATGAACTAAAATTGTTCAAGGTGTTTTAGTATGAATGCCTCAGTACATATCGAGTGTCAAAAGTGATTGAATCAGCTGTAGTTCACTCTGACTTAAGATCCACTGGTGCAATTTCCGGATGAAGCCGTTAAGGTAAAATTGCTGTAAATGAAAACCCTCTTTTCTATGACAATGCGATAGAAAAAAACAAAAAAAAAACAAAAAAAAAAAAACAGCGGAGCAGCTCTCTTACTCTGTAACCCAATATAGATTCAAGCCCTTGCATTCTTAAGCATGACAGCTGTTCCCAGATCAGGGTGAACTGAGCCTGTCTGCAATGTCAGCATAACACAGAACTCACAGACAATCGAAGAAAGCGTCCTTTTCAAACGATATCTTAACCAAACCATGCAAATATCCTATAGTGTGGATATGTATTGACAGGAACCAGAAGCCATTATCTGATAATCTTCACAAAGATTCCAGAGATTACCTTGGTGTGTCAAGACAAATAAATCAAGTGTTATTCGACAGGTTGAGGCTCATAATTCCGCACTGAATTAAGCCTTGTTTCACCAATGTTTACACTCCCTTGAACCAGTCCTCTCTCAGCATTGGTCTAGATAACAAAGCATGGGTGTGTGTCAGAGGAGTAGATGATTTTAGTAGATGAACCATTGCATCACACACCATCAGACCACACTGATCTTTCATATATTATTAAAAAAATAATCTTAACATCAAAACAAAAAAAAATATTTTGTTTCCTTTTATTTACAGTGATAGTATATTGTAGATTGAAGAGGTTAGATATTGTAGTGTTTTAGTTATGTTTGCAAACTAAGATTCTGTAGTGTTATGACACTGGCTTGAGAACGGACCGAAGCGATCTGCCGTCGCGCGTCAGCTCTCTGGTCGTGCACATGCAGGGCAGAGGAACCGCCTCCACTTGGCGGAGGACTTCGTTGTATGGGCATCGTTTCAGGTGGTCAGCCATGCTAGTGATGTCCGCAAACTCCCACCTGTTAACCGGGCTAAAGGCTGTGCTGAACCGCCAAACCTGCAGGAAAACAAAACAGTTACTAGCGTAACCACTTAACAATTGGATGGTAAAACTTGTTACCTGCTCAGACTGTTTCTTCCACTGAGTTTGGAAAAGGAGTACAGCCAGTCATGTGCAAACTAACACAATTAGCATGTGGCCACTGTTCAGACATACTGTACCTTGTCTTTTATCTGCCAGGATCGTCTTCCATCCAAATATTGCTTCTTTTCCCACTGAACCACCACCATGCCACGGCTCTGTAGCAGACTGGCACAAACATCCCTCATCGTACGAGACACCATTGACAGCTGACACAGGCCAAAGCCATCCAGAAATCGGGCTACATGTTGAAGTACTTCAAACGGCAAACCACTAAGGTGATCGCACTTAGGTACTATTACAGGTTTTGAGATGGGTTTCACCCCAAATGACCTGAGGTGGCGGTCGTGAACAACCTTTGACCCTTGAGTGGATGGGGAGAGTCTTCGTTGAGAGTACGTACAGCCGTAATACGCTAACGGACAACGGTGCTCCATCCAGCCATTGAGTCCAGAGTGGATATCTCCATGAACATTTCGGAAATGCGAGAGGAACTCTTCTCGACGGAAGAGCTGGCCGCACTCAAAGGTGAACATGGAGCCCTCTCGTGGAGCCCAGCTTGGGCGAGGCACAAGCTGCTCCAGCGTCAGATCGAGCCGAAGAGTGCAAAACGGACTTGGCTGTGAAAGGCGAGGTGCGGCTCGATCGCAAGCGGAAGCGGACGCGACCTCTCCCACCATCGTACTTGTTGCCAAGATGGCAGCAGGGAAACTAAACGTCTGGGTGCCGAAGTCAACACGTGTACCCCCAAACGCATAGACCGTGTCGGATATCCTCCGAGCCCGTGGCGACTCCTCCAGGCAGAACAGAAGAGCTGCCGCCGTAAAGTCAATTTCGCCGAGTCCCATGGGGTCGTCCACTGGCTCCTGATCTAAATCTGATGTGTCCACAGCTTTGTCCTCCATTTTGCAACGTGGATTTCTATAGGGAAACACTTCGGTAAACGACCCCTTCCGTCCGTTAAGTGCAAGTGGCATAAAATTGCGCAGCAACTGAAGGTTTTGGAGTTTCCTCTCAAAAGCCCTATCTTCAAAGTCTAATGCCATCACAGGTAGCATGTTGTCTCTCTGGACGGTCAAAGTCTGAGCATGTATAGGCTGCTGCAGCAATGGGGCTTGTGATCCAGAGGCCTCCTGGATCAAGAAAGCGTGTTGGTCGTGTCTGATCTCTGGTCTATGAGGAACTAAAGGACCGACAAACTCCCGAGAACCTCGGGACTCTGGATTTTGATGGTGTTCTGTGGTCGATTCCATTATTTCATCTACAATACTATGAGAGCCATTACAGAAACCTTGCCTATCTATGTCTCCTAACATGACTGGGCAACACTCACCTGCTGCCTCATGAGCTACACCAGCTAAAGTGGCTTCTCCACCATCAACTCCCCCAACAGCCCTAGGCTCACCATCAACCTCCGAAGTAACGTCCTTCATATCAACATCTGGAGACTCCAACGTTTCTGATTGCTTACCATTCTCGTTAATTGTCTCAGTGCCTTTGACAACATCTCCTAATGCACCGAGCGCAGAGGCCAAATTCCTGCCAAGTTCCATGAGTTTTTGGTGCTGTTGAGGCTGTAGATCCTCCTTTAGCCCATTGACTCCACTGGCTATTTTATCACAGCTGAACCCGGCATCTTCTCTCATCCTCACCTTCTCATGCCGTTCCCCATTGCGCTCTGGAAGTGCAGCTGACGCATTAGTAGTTGTACAGTCTGTTTCAGAAGAATTGAGGTGGATCAGGACGTTAAGAGCTGCGGCCAGGCTTTTGGTTGTCTCAACCGTGGTTTGGTAGAGCCCCCCGTAATGTTCTTCTTTTAGACCATTAATCCCATTGGAAATCTTGTCTTTTGAACAGCCAGCCGTAGGCTCCATCTCAATGTTCTCCACCTGAGCAACTGAGACTAAACCAGGCTTTTCACGTTGTCCTACTGCCTGAGTCTTTTTCTCTGGTCCACTAGTGGGAGCCAGAGAGACGAGTTTAAGTGATGCTAACATGGTGCGCTGGTCCTGAAGGGCGAGCGCCATGTCAAGCTGCTCCACCTCATCTGCTTCTTGACTCAGTCGCTCATACGAACGATAATCCTCGTAATTCACTGGCCACCTATTCCACTCCATTGTGCAGCACACCACACCTGCAGGACACACCTCAAGGTGCTCCGCCATCTGGCCACGGGCCAGGGTAAAAGGGCATCCAATGCTGTGGTTAAGACATGGCACCCTTTCAAGCGGGCACAGCAGCTTGTGTTCAATAGCCTTGCAGCTGTGGAAGATGGCACCGCATACAAGAGGGCAGGTGATGAGGTCACAGGAGGTGCCGGGTTCAGGTTTTACCATGCATCGCCTGCTTATGCAGGACATGCAGTGAACATGGGGCTCCTCCATTGTTTAAGATGACAGCAGCAAGATGCAAAAGAGCAGTCTCAACCACTGTAAAACAATGAGAAAAACTGAGATTAGATTCATCAACATGCAGGCTGTATTATAAGTGAATTTTGTAGTAAGTGACAAAGCAGATCACATCAACTTCTAAATGTAATATTTTAAATCTTTATAGGAACATTCTTGTGGCAAACAGACAGCACTTTTCCAGAGACAAAATTGACTAGTAGGTGCGTAGTTTGAACAGCTGGTAGACTAGTCTGCCATTAACATAATGTCCCGTAGACACAAACAGGAATAGAGACAGCACAGGAATCTTAAGACACATTTTTTAAACTTTTCTTGAAGTAGGCTATTTACTTTTTTTTTTTTTTACTTGACAATATCTTAAAGTATTATAACTTAGTTCATGCCCAAAAAAAAATTCATCTGCATGTTGGTTAATGACATGATGTAAATATTGTTGTGTCCCAAGTGCATCAAATGAAATAATTTATTATTTTAAACTTTTAAAATAATTTGATAAATTCATGACATGTATCAATTTATTCTATAAATCTTATTTAGTTTGAAATCAAACCCCCTAAAATGTCAGGTGGCGCAACCGTCCACCACACAAATGAACAGACTTAAGAAAAGTATTTAAAATTGTGCCTTAAGAAGAAATTCAAAATAAAATATTATGGCATAATTTTATGTTTGAAACCTTTCATATAAACAAATTGTAAATATCAGTAGCTTTAAAGCTTTTAAGACCATTAAAAAAGTTTTGTCAGGGACAACTGCAATCATGGGTCTTTTATTATGAAGTGAAATAACAGTCAGCATGATAATGCTGATAATGATAATGCTCCAAAGGGGACCAACTGATCCTTATTACATAGAGAAAATGTTTGTAGATCTCTCTCAAATACTGATAAAAATAGCTATTTTCATGTATGGGTTGGTACACTTTCCATGTCAGGTGGCGCAACCAATGTAAAAATAGAAAATGCATTTTTTGGATATTTTAATTTAAAATTCTCAACTGGCTAAATCTGATTATTCTTTTTGTATCAATATAAAACATAACTTTGTTATTCAATCACAAATGATTACAGTGTTTCTAACACTTATTCTATTCTATCTATAGTGTAGCCTTTTCCAGTTCCTTCATTCTTAATGTGATGTCATGTGATTTATTCTGTTTTTGATCAATTTACTACTTTACAATAAAGACTGTTGACTAAAACAATTCTATTATTCTAAAAATTTTATATGTAATAAAAAAAAAAAAAAAAAAAAAAAAATCAGTATTCAGCATATTCCGGCGTTATTAATGTCATTATGAATGTTGTGAGTTGGCACAACTGATATTCATCAGGTGGTGCAACCATGTAAATTCTTGATTTAAACCAACAAATAATAGGTGAAAGTGAACAAATGTCTGAAAACTAGATTGTGAATAGTTATTGTATTAAATGCATTACTGGTATACTTGTATAATACTGGCAATTATTCTGTTTTTAAAAGTAAAACCGGCTGCTAAAGATACAAAATACCTGGCCACTAGGATGCAATAATTTTAAATTAATATGAATAAAATAGACAAACACAAAACAATAACGTGTTATGCACTGTAGAGCCTCTAAGGGTTACTTTGCTAAGATTTCACCAATAAATAAAATTATGAATATATTTATTTAAAGACTTATTTAACAATTGAAACTTGTTTAAATCCATTGTTCCCGGCTCAAAAATATGCATTACATAAATTAAAAAAATATACCTTTTGAAGCTTTATTTGTCATTGACCCATGTGCAAATAGACTAACAATTCTTATTATATATAAATAATTTAGGGGTTCAACATTATTTGTCTTCAAATTTACAATAGGGCATCCAATGTTCTGGATGCTGTTAGATTTTTATTTTTTTAATTTTATTTTTTTAAAGGAGTGCATTACTTTAAAGGTAGTCAGGGACACTTTTACCGTCATTTCAAAACTAATAAGCTGCCCACATTTATCTGAAGTTATTCTGCGACACCTTATGAAAGCTGGGAAACTAAACTTTAAAATATCCACAATAATGGACGTCTTTAAATCTTATAATGAGACCCACAGCTGTGGTTGTCATTTCTCTCACTGAGGTTACTGAACTTTGCAGTGCACCCTGAAACAAGCATTATTCAATAATGACAACCTCTCTTGAGCTCCTGGCAGACTCCCTGCCTCCAGCTTTATTGCTGTCTTGATTTTATCCAACAGTCTTCCAAGTTAGCATAAACAAAACTGGCCCACTTAACTCATGTGTTGCTGCTGTCCTACAAGTCTTTTTACCAATGACACCACATTAAACCGTGAACCAAAAATATACAGACAGTCTTTAAAGCTTCATTAAACTTACTCATAAAGTTTCTCGACACACACTAGTTTTAATGTTTACAAAACAATAAGTTGGTAAACAGATATTTGACAGAAATGAAAACCTTAAGCAACCACAAAAACTTAATGACACCTCAATACAGAACAGAATGAAGTTAAGAAGTGTCCTCGTGATTGCAGTAGTGGTATTTTGATCTTTATTTAGTTGATGTTTAACTTTGTTTCACTTTTTTCATTATTTTCTAAAGAGGTTAGCCTATATTAGCTAGCTCAACTTTCTGCCTTCAGTCAACATAAACAAACTACTCACCTTCCCACAGACTATGTCAACTAACTCCCCGCGTTTCTCACTCACGCCCCTCGCGTGCTTTATCACTTGTCCGGTTTTGCGGTGAAACGGGACACTTTAGCACACTGCTGTATGATATTGTACACAATCATCACCGTTTGTCCTGTCCAAAAATACTCAATCCGGCAGGGACGCGCGCCGATGACATCATCACGCAAAATAAAATGGGCGTCATGACGTTAGGTTTATTTTGGCCGGATTATGGTTACTGGAAATGTTTGCATTGGATATTTCTGTGATTTTTGTTAATTGTTTTGCCCCTGTTCTTCTTATCATTGTGTATAGGCCTACTATACGAATTTTGGGGGTTGATGGATCACTTTAGATTGAAAAATTATTAGGTTGAATGATTTTTGGCATTTGTAAGCGATTGGGTAGATAGATTATAATAGCTATTTTTTATTGTGTCTCTTTAATTACATTTAACTAATATATAAAATGAAGTGTTACAATTTTGCCATGTTTCCCCCCCCCCCCCCCCCCCCCCACCCCCACACTGACTTTTTATAACTTAGCCTATACCCGACATAACCAGAGATACTTTACAAATTAATTCAATATTTATGTGTACAAATGTTATTTATGTATAAATTAATTTATTTAATGATCAGATGACATAGGCTACCGAATGTTCAATGAACATAGCCTACTTGATTTTTTTTAAATGGCTAGTAGTCAAAGTGAAAAATTGAAGAATCAAATTAAAGAATCATGTTTTATTTAAAACAATAGATACTTACATGACAGTGACAAGTCATTAGGTGTGTTATACTTGATTTGCGGCCCTGTGCAGACCGATCGGTGTACGATATTAAAGTACCGTGAGAGAGATTAGAGATGGCTCTGTATGCTTTCAATTCGCTCTCCCAGTACATTGAAGTCATAAACCAAATCGGTCTGCACAGCGCCATTTTCTATTTTCTTCAATCCAAATTATAGCCAACCAATCAGGGCTGCGTTTCTCAGCCCAGTTCAGTATCACTAAGAGACAAGTGTCATCAGGATGCTTGTGGTAAAAACAACAAGTGTGGAGAAACTTTGAAAATTAGCCAAAATATCAATGAAATTTAAATGAACCTACTGAACAACAAGGAACAAGTGAGACTGAACCACAAAGCCATATATATTTGCGTGAAGGAAGGAGTTTGACTATTCACAAGTAAATTAGATAAAGACAAAATGGGGCTATCCATTCATGTAGCCGTGTTATTGTCACAGTCTGAAAAAAAAAAGCCTTGTGGAAAAAAAATGTGTTCAGAGATGCCCAGGCAGGAATATATGACTTTAGCCCAGATTTCTGCCCCAATTTACAGCGTCTTAAGGAGTAGATTCTGCCAAAAGTCTGAGCCAGACTGCATGTTGGACAGTTGGCGATGACAGATTTAGCTAAAAATCGTGTATGATGCGCACAGACTCTGATTTTTAAAAAATATTTTGAGTCTGTTTTAGAACACACATTGTTTTCATATGTCATTTATGTAGGAACAAGCCACATGTTTCTGCATGAGTTTGTCGAGGTATGAACGACTTGATGGTTGTGTGTGGTGCCCAGTTCTTCTTCCTTTTCTTTTTCTTCTTATGGTGGTTGGCAAAAAAGCGATGGGTGTATTCCCACCCCCTACTGGGCTGGAGTGTGGATCATTGATAAAAAAAAAAAAAAAAAAAAAGGAATTTAATTGCCTTCTAAATCCTATTAAACTGACCTAACTTTCTTAAGTATATCATTAATGCATTGTTCACTAGCCAAAAAATAAATGAATAAATTAGGCAAATGCTTAAGAGTCTATGTTTGGATCATTATTGCAGTGATTATTATGTTTCTAGCATGTTATTTGTTTGGCGACAGTTCTTCAGACCCTAATAGATGGAGTGTGTACTAGCTTATCATGTAAGAAGACACATCATGGCCATATTCCAGGAGGACGATGTCAAGATTCATCAGGCTCAAACTGTGTAAGAATGAGCTTTCCTCATGGTTATGAGGAGCATGAAGAATCATTTTCACACATGAATTGATGCTCCTCTGAGTCCAGACCTTGCATTCATTGTAAGTCTGTGGGATGTGCTGGAGGAGACTTTACAGAGTGCTGGACTCTTGCACTGTCAATACAAGATCTTGACCTAAAATGTATGCACTTCTTGATGGAAATAAATATTGTGATGTTATTTTTTTGCATTTATCAACAATTTTCTGAATGTGAACTGCAAATGTCAGTTTTGTGTCTAGCCATACCCCCAACACATTGTATCACATACACTTGTTCTAAAGGTTTGTATAGCTGTAATCTTACACTAAGACATTCTCTCTTTTTTGAGAAACATAACCTGTTATCGACACTGATAAACGTAATTTTTCAGTCCAATTTTACACCTCATTAGTCACACTCTCCGTACTTTTAAACAAAACATTCCTCCCTCTCTTCCACAGGCCTCCGTCATCCGCAATCAGAGACTTTTCAACTCCTGCTCCAACCCTTGAAAAATATTATTAATCATTATTACACTACCTTGAGAAGTACCGTTTTCGATATACCATAGTATTTTTTGGAATACGATGATCCCACCCTGACTTGAAACTATGAATCCAGTTAATCATTTTCCTTCCAATAACCATCTTATCCATTCCACTAAAAAATAACCATTCTTTCCATAATGTTGCACAGATTAGACGTTAGGGCAATAGGCCTGTAACTAGACGCTGCTGGTCCTTTCCAGTTTTTGCAACTGTTTCCAAGTAGTCGGTAGAGGTTTTATTAAAAAGGCTATAACACAATTTATAGCAAGTGTTTTGTGATGCACAGTTTTTCTCTGTAAATATTAACAGAGTCGACAAGTGTGTGATGCCTTTCTATCTGTTCATATTTTATGTCTTGTAGTGTACTTTACCCTTAAACCAACTCATTGAATATTGCTTAAATTGGAAGAAAAGTATATACGTAGACTAGCAAACACTGTGACAAAAATGACCCAATTTAGTTGTGGCAACACTATGCCATTCCTCCAGCTGTCCATATTTGCTGGGAAAAACTGTGACACATTTTTTTTGGCCATGACCAACTTATTGAGAACAAATGAAAGGTACACTGAGATAGTATGCTAGATAATGATGATAACATCAGGATTTTTTTTCCCCCACAACTGATTTAAATATAGCTGCAAGCAGCAATTTACTGGTTCAGGCCTTTAAGCACATGCGTAAAAAGATATTATGTTTTATTTAGCAAGCATGTAACAAGTTAGATCATAAGATCATTTACAGCAAATACAGGCAATTTACCATAGAAATGTATGGTTTTTAAAGCTTTTTTAACAGTCATAGAGCCACCTATGATCCGATCTCAATAAAAGTTTTCATGCTTGTTTATGTGCTAATATCATGAAGTTTAGAGTTGTCGTTAAGGATTTATAGGCTTTTTCTAAATGACCCTGATATGGCTATCCAAAGCGTAATGTTTAGACATTTTTGATAATTATTGACCTAGAGAGTCCATAGAATTGTGCCGCAATGATTTGCAAAAGTCCGTTTTATTTGAGATAATCACAAATATTCAATGAACAATTTGATTGAGGCAATCAATTTGGTTCTTGAGGCAAATTCGTTCAGTATGGGGAGATCTAACAGATGATATGCATATTGTGTGTATGTGTGAAACACCACGTGATTCAGAGGCGTAAAACTCGTTAGTGCCACCTAGTGGCCGATTTCTTTCAAAATTCTTACAGACCTCTAGGGCCATGAGTCGAACATGCCCACTGAGTTTCTTTCCGATAGGCCTCCGTTAATCGTGTCTAATAGGTGGTCAAACTTCATTGACCGATGGCAGCCATGTTTTTTTGAGGTGCGCCAATGGCCTCATAGACAATCATGGCACTTTGGACAAAGACACTGCATTTTCAAGTATATCAGACTTAGGGTTGTGTAGTTATAGCCATGTTTATGTTTTTTTCCATGTTGTAGGGCCACCAAGTGGCCAGTCGCCATATGCTTTTTCATGCGACCACAGAATGAGCTCTAACATATGTGTGTCGAGTTTAGTGAAAATATCATTTTGTTCACGAGTAATAGTCATTTTAGTGGCTGCAACCACTTTTAACATTTTGGCGGCCCTTAGAGACAGTGAATCCGAATTTCTAAATCGCACTGGTTTGGTTCTGATAGGGCCAAAAACCTAGGACTAGGTCGCTAAAGTAGGTTTCATCAAAAAATCCAAAATACTCGAAAATTCGCCAGGGCGATGATCGAATCAAGGCATGAATGGGGTGATATCTTGATTTCAGATTGTTAAAGAAAAATCATGCAACATGATTTTAAAAGAAGAAAAGCACGTTGCTTTATAACGGGGGATTAAAAGAAAAGATGAAGTACATCGCTTGGCTATTCATTTGAACCAAAATGTTTGAAGTTTTCATTCACAGACTTTAATTCTTTCGTATGGCTTTTTGTATAAAAGTACTTATGCAAGTTGTATACATCAGACAGAAAATACAATGTATAGTTTAAAAATAATGCTTGATAAATTAACCATTTATTTGATCTAACTACATAAAGATTGAATCATTGTATGATCTGGTTACAGAAAAGTACTTTTTAAGATAAATGGAAAACTTTCTTAAAAAACTATGAGTTACAACATGTTTCTACGGTCAATCAATGTATTCTTCAGATCTATTCTTAATTTGAAGTGACCTTGTCTTTGCTTTTCAATCGACAGAAATGGTTATACATTAGATATATCATCACAGAAATTGTGTAATTTGTTAATTAGAAAGGATTAGGAGACATAATCAGTCAAGGATTTGTTTAGATTTTCTGATAGGCTGATTTTGTTTTTCTTTTTCATAGTGATCATGGAACATGAGAAAGAGAAGATGCTAGTTCAGCAGAACTGAACGCCGCTTCGGTTGGTTTTGTATCTACATTCCTGTACAGTCCACCCGGCAGGAAGCCAGTTTACTCAGTGGTGACACACAAAGGCTGGGAATAGGCGCTCTGGATGCTGTCGTGTTTGGCAGACACGATGACACAGTAACGTGTTGCAGGTTTTAGGTCAGTAACTGTAGCGATCTCAGTCTTGTACACTGACAGGACCTCCTCCGCCGGCAGAGACGGGGTGTCCTCTGTTAAGATCAGAGTGTAGGAATCCGCC